AAGAAAAGAAATAAAATGAAAAAAGGAAGACAATGGAGAGAAAAGAGAGAAGGAAAGAAAAGCAAAATGAGGACGAAATAGAAAAAGAAGAAAAGCAACGAAAGGAAAAGAAAAAGAAAATATGCAAGGAATGGAATAAAAATCCAATAAAAATTCCGTAAAAAACAACAACATGAGTTGAGTGTTGTATGTTGTAAATATAGAATGTAGTGGTAGTGCGTGTGGAGAAAACCTTGCAGAGGATCCCCTTACAGGAAATGATGGGTATAAAATATAAAAAATCAACATGTGAGTTGAGTATTGTATGTTGTAAATATAGAATGTAGTGTAATGCATGTGGAGTGAACCTTGCAGAGGATCCCCTTACAGGGAGTGATGGTCATAAAATATAAAAAATCAACATGTGAGTTGAGTATTGTATGTTGTAAATATAGAATGTAGTGTAATGCGTGTGGAGGGAACCTTGCAGAGGATCCCCTTACAGGAAATGATGGGTATAAAATATAAAAAATCAACATGTGAGTTGAGTGTTGTATGGTGTAAATATAGAATGTAGTGGTAGTTCGTGTGGAGGGAACCTCACGGAAGAGCCCCGTATGGGGAGTGATGGTTGTAAAATATAAGTTTATAAGTTTACCATATTTGTTTTTCTCAGATACTCTGGTGTTTTCTGTACAGCAGGTTGTACTTTACTCTGAGGAGCACCACTCCTCCATCTCCAGTAAATCAGTAAGATAATGATGATGATTAGGAAGATGGGGCCTAGTACTGCGCCGATGATCCAGTACGGGATAACCACAGGGGGAATGGTGGCGGGAGGAGTCTCGGTTACCTTGGGAACCACTACTGGACGAGGACTGGTAATTATCTATGTATATATCAACACATAATGAAAGAGGAATGAATAGGAAGATGAGAAATAGTGGATGGGAATGTATAGACAGGATTATCTTTCTCTTCACGTCATTCTCTTGAGTATTTTTTTTCATCAATAACGTTTTTACATTTCAGACCACATGTCACTCCCTTAAGTATTATTTCTTTCTTCATCAGTAATGTTT